GCGGGGAGTCTGCCTCTCCCTCTGACTCTCCCCCTCTCATGCTCTCTCTCTATCACTATCTCTCTCAATAAATAAATAAATAATCTTTAAAAAAAAAAAATTGTCGTCGGGCGCCTGGGTGACTCAGTCGGTTAAGCATCTGCCTTCGGCTCAGGTGGTGGTCTCAGGGTCCTGAGATCGAGTCCCACATCAGGCTCCCTGATCTGTGGGGAGCCTGCTTCTCTCTCTCCCTCTGCCCCTCCCTGTGCTTCTGTGAGCGCGCTCTGTCAAACAAATAAATACATAAATAAATCTTAAAAAAAATTGTTGTCAATAATATCTAGGTAACATTGTGATTACAAAATGTTTTTTTAATATATAAAACAGCATTCTAAAGGATCCAAGAATACAATGATGTCTGAGATTTCCCCCCAAAATGCTCCAGAAAAAGGGAACGGGGTAGTAGAGAGTGAAGCAAGCATGGCAAGATGGGGATAGTTGCTGAAACTGAAGGGTGACCGGTACCTGAGTGTTCACTGCAGCCTCCAGTTTTGTATATGTTCGTTTTCATAATACTTTAAAAATAAACACCAATTTAAAAAAAAAAAAAGTGCCAAGCACAGAACCAGGGATAAGGGAACCTGAGTCAGGTTTGCTGGGCACTGGAGCCTGGCAGAGGCTGAGCCTCACCCTGAGAGTAGAGGTGCACGCGGTGAATGCTCCTCTTCAGCTGCTCCAGGCGCTGGTGCATCTCCAGGGCACCCATGCTGTTGCAACAATTCAGCTCCCCCTGAACCGCACAGAAGAACTTTGCCTACGACAAGGGGACAGGCAAGGCAGGAGGAAGCCAGACAGGTGAGACGCCCGCCGGCTGCACTGTCCAAGCTGGGCCGCCTGGGGCTTCTGGACGAACCCTACTCTGCAGCTCCAGCTAGGCCCGAAGGCTCCCTCCGCACCCAACCCCCGCCCCACCCCGCCCCCAATCTCCTATCCTCACAGCCCCGCCCCAGACGACAGCGAGCTGGAGCCGTGTGAGCACCCGCCCCCGTGGTCCCCACCCCGCCTCCCCCGTTGCAGCCCCGCCGGCCCGCTCGCACCCAGAGGAAGGAGAGGAGCCCGCGCCCCTCGTACTCGGCCAGCTTGCCCTTGCGCACCACCCTCTCGGCCAGCGCGGGGTTGCGGTCGATGCTGCGGAAGAGGCGGCGCAGCGCGCGCTCCGTGTAGGTGGCCGCCTGCCTCTCGAAGTCCTCCTCGGAGATGAGCTGGCAGAAGGTCACACTCTGGGGGAACTCGCTGTCGAACTCGTCCAGGACCTCCATCCCTGAGCGGCTGCGGGCGGGCCTGGGCGGCCTGGGGGCGGAACGGCCGTCGGGGTCGGGCCACCGAGGCTCCAGGCGCGCCGACCCCCACCCGCCTCGGGTCGGGGGACAGGGGCAGGTCCCGAGGGCCAGGGACCGGGTCGCCGTGGGCTGCGGGGCGGGCACCGCGAGGACGCACCTGCTCTCTGCCCCACAGCCGCCGCGCCGACGCAGCCTCCCTCGGCGTGCCACCGCCACCGCCCCGACTGCTCTAGCCAATCCCCCCGGAGCTCGCGGGCGGGGGGCCAATCCGCGCGAGGCGGCCGCACGTGACAATGCCCACCGCTCTGGGCATGCGCTCTGGAGCCTTCGACGGGGCAAACGCTGCGGCGCACCGCGGAGGCCTCGTCCCGCTAGCGTGTTGCAGGCCTTGATGGGGGAGCCGGCCATGACCACGCAGAGAACATGGTCAGCAGCCATACTCTTCAAACTTCTTCTTTTTTTTTTTTTTTAAGATTTTATTTATTTGCGAGAGAGAGAATGAGAGAGAGCATGAGAGGGAGAAGCAGACTCCCTGCTGAGCAGGGAGCCCGATGTGGAACTCGATCCCGGGACTCCAGGATCATGACCTGAGCCCAAGGCAGTCGCTTAACCAACTGAGCCACCCAGGCGCCCCTCTTCAAACTTCTTTAAAGCTCTCTCCCCTCCCCATTCCTTGTGCTCGCCCTCCCTCCTCGCGGTCTGTAGACAACACCCCAAGGGCTTCACTCAGTCCCTAACTCCTCTAGTCCCAGACTTCACTCTTCCTCTCCTGATTTACTCTCCAGCATCAAACCCAACCCTCCTCAGCTTCTGTCTTCTCTCTTCCCCTGTATGACCACTCCTTTGCTCTGTACTCGCGGTTTCCTCTTCACGAGCATCTCCAGCTGCTCCTTATGCATTTCAGAAGGCCCCATCTTCAGGGTACCATCTGGGACGATCTTACCCCACTTCTTGGTCCCAACTCAGAGCTGACTTAACTAACTCTAACCTGCGTCTCAGGCTCAGACCTCCCTTGAATTCCAGAACCACATCCAAGTTTCGGCTGGGGTCGTTTCTTGGGCGTCTCATGCTGAACATATCCAGTTTGGCATACTTCTTCCCTCCCAACCCCAAACCTGCTTCTCTTCTCCCTTCCTACTTGATCAGCGATGTCACCACCAACCACCGCAGCCACATTGATAAGGGGGTCCACCCTGGATTGCTTCCTCTCTGTCGCCCTCCACACCCATTCACCCCGATCAACCTGAGATCCATGGAGTGTATCTGAGAAGTCAAAAGAGATTTTTCACCTCCCACTGCCAAACCACCAACCCTCTCCCAGCGTAGGCCCTCACTTCCTCCTGCTTTGAGGTCAGAGAGCAAGATGGAAACAATCAAGGAGGAAAAAAAATTTTAGCCTAGGGGTGCAAACAGATATGATACACATGGGTTCAAATCTTCATTCTACTTCCTGATGCTGTGTGCTTCTCTCCCACTCCCCCTGCTTGTGTTCCCTCTCTAGCTGGGTCTCTGTCAAATAAATAAATAAAATCTTTAAAAAAAAAAAAAAGCTATTAAAAAAAATTATCTGATGCAATGAAGTAGCCAGTCTAAATACATACTTTGAAATAACACTCCATGGAATGACATAGGAAATAACACCACCATAAATGGCAAAAACAGGTGATTAAAACAAACAAGCAAACAAACCACCTATTCAGTAAATCCCTGCTTTGCAAAACACATGTGTATAAACCTTAGGGCTACCCACAGTTGATGGAATTGTTCCCTTTCTAATGGGTCTCTGAGCTGCTTGTTTCCAACTCTCAGCATTTACAAACACTAGGAAGGGGGAGCAACTTTTCCAGCACCCGATTACATTAGGGTCCTTTCATGAAATGCGAAGGACCATCATACAGAACATTTTTCTGGCCCTCGTGCACACTGGCATGATGCCATCATGCCAGGTAAGCCAGGACGATGTCCCACCCCAGATAGGCCCAGAGGCGTGCTTACCAGGGGAAGCCAGGGCAACGGAGCTTGTGTGCACTGTTTCCAGCCAGGTACGAGAAATGGAAGCCTCCGGGGTTGAGGACCAAGGGGGTCAGATCAACCATGTGTCTGCAAGACAGGAGGGAGAGGGAAACATCAGCTCTGGGCTCCTCCCCGGCAGGCCCTCCCACAGGGACTCCCGGGCACGGAGCAGACCTCTGAGCCTTGACTCCATCCCTGTACAATGGGAATAACCACCCCTCAGGATTGTGGTGAGGATTGACAACAAGGTGGGGAAAAATTGGGAACCAAGCGTGGCACACAACGTGCTCCCTAAAATGCTCTCTTTTCATTTGCCCTGAGCCTAGAATCAATTCCTTCCACCTCTTTGGGTTCGATGACAGGCCAGGCCAGTTCAATTTCACTTCTGACCTTGCAACCTCCAAGTTCTCCATCTGCAGGAAACAAAGAAAATCTTAGGACAAGTCTGGGGGCCCCACTGGGAAGAAAAACACCTTACACAAGAACTAGGGAAACTATGTGACTATCACTCATTCAGCAAATACATCAGGGTCATCCTTAGCACCCATCTCAAGCTTGGTGTTAGGGACGGGGATGGGATGGGATGGGGGCTGGGAGCTGAGAGAGGACTGGGGGCTGACTGGCATGAGAGTGCAGGAGAAGGAGGGGACAGGAGAGGCATGTGGTTAGGAAGGCACTGCAGAGGCAAGGAGACCACGAGCCACGAAGCGGGGCAGGCGTGGGGCTAGAGATGTTGGGGGGCAGGCCATGCTTCTCCACCTGTCCTTTGGGCACCCCAGGATTCTGCCCCATGTTTTGGCAGCTGCCTTGCTCAGCTGAGGCCAAGCAGGTGAAACTCCGTGCCTCCAACTCTTCAACCAGAGCAGACCCCCTTTTATCTGCTTTATCCATCAACATTCTACCCAAGACTTTGCCTCCAGAGAGCAGTCTGCTGCTTAAAAACAAAGTTCTGACAGTCACTGCCATGGGCCCGGGGAAGCCGCTGGGGTGGTTCTGAGCAGAGGGGTAGGGGCTGCCGCTCCTGGGACCATGCGGACTGGGGGATGAGCTCACTGACCGACTTGCTGGGCAGCGGAGGGAAGGAGCCAAAGACCCGAGGCATGGTGTAGACAGGGGGTGATGGGGCCACCACGGAGGCCATGGTGGTGGCAGGTGACGGCAGCGGTGGAGGTGGCAGCAGGGCTGGTGGCAGGCATGGGGAAGTTGAGTGGTCTTGCAAGAGGACGGGTTCTGGTTTCTTCGGCTTTGGCTTTCTTCTCTTCTTCTTGGCATCTGTGACAAAAGGGACCAATGAGTGCCTACCCCATGGCCAGAACAGGGTAGCGTCGAGGCCAAACAATGGTGCAGGTTCTTCACAAGGTTCCTCCCCCAAAGGGCACCACATAAGAGTGCCTGGAGCCACGGCTGACAGGCACCAACATGTACCAGCTCACCGACCCCACAACTACCCCACGAGGAAAGGCTATTTTTGTCTCTCTCTTACAAGGAGAAAGGGAAGCTCCGAGTGTACGAGGCCCAGGAAGGACCCATACCCCAACTGTCTGACTTCAAGGCCAGAATTTCAGGGGAAGTAACATGAGTATCACCACCAAGGAGGGCTGGGCTTGTCCCAGACATGTCAGTCAGCCACCTACCCCAAGCTCCTAAGTCAGCCAGCACCTTCCTGGGGTATCTAGGCCCTGGACGGGGAGTTCACCAACGACACCCAGCCCCAGGGCCATCCTGGGGGTATGCAAAGGCCCTTTCCTCTGTAAGGAAACTCTTCTGTAGGAGGTCTTACAGAAGTGGGCTCAGGGAGAGAATCTTTGAGTAGCAGGACTCTGGGGCCTGCCCCCTCTCCTCTTTCCACATTAGTTTTCTTCCTATATTTGATGAGTCTGGCTATTTCTACTGGACACCAGCAAAGCGGGTATGAACAAGTGCCTCATACAGCCCATTAAAAGGGCTCATCTAGAATGACAATCACTACCACCAGGGAGCACTGACCTGGAGGCTAAGAGCCCGAGCTCTAGAGCAACCCATACCTGAGTTCAAGTCTAGACTCTACTACTTACTACGTGACACTGTTGTCACATCGTTGGCTTCCCTCCCTGGGCCTCTATGTCCTCTTCTGTAAAATGAGTTTAATAGCATGGACACTACCTTGGGAGGCTGTGTAAGAGCTACACATGCTGGGGGTCCATCAGATGCAATGGTGATGTGGAACACTCACACTCAGCATCATGGAAAGTGGGACCCCCCAGGTGAGCCAGGCCTCCTGATACAATGAAGAAAGCTGCTCCACCACTAGCTAGGGTATCACTGAAGACAAATGCACCAAAAGAACTGAACCCACATCTAACATAAGGCTTTAGAGCAACTATCCAAGAAATACAGGGAGCGGGGGACAAGACAAACGGCACCAGGGGGCCCTAACAACAGATATAAACCCATTGAGTGCAACGCCCCAAAGGACATCACAGTTCTTCAAGGTGATGGCATGGGGGAGTAAGGTGAGAGCATCCCACCTCAAAGGGACTTCAACAGACGTGGCCATCCCTCACTTGCCATCCCTACGAGGTCACTAGTGTGGCCCCCTTCCATTTCACTCTCACAAGTGTGCCAGTGTGAACTCGAAGTATATGGCCATCCTAGTGAAAAGGAACCTCAAAGGACCTAACATCCAAACCAAGTATCAGCTAACATTAAGAAATTGTTGTCACGGGCGCCTGGATGGCTCAGTTGTTTAGGCGACTGCCTTAGGCTCAGGTCATGATCCTGGAGTCCCGGGATCGAGTCCCACATCGGGCTCCCTGCTCAGCGGGGAGTCTGC